GAGAACTGGTCCACCGCACCTTCCGGGACACATTATTCACTGAGAAAACAATGAGAATGTACAACCATAAAATAGTTTCGAAAGGTCACACCAAATGACAGTGAAACAAAACAAACTTGCAATATCCCCATTCGACTCAAAACGTTTTCTCCTTTTCGACGGAATTTCGACAGTGCCTTTTGGGCATAAAGCCGTCGAGGAAAATGCATTTTTAGAAGATATTTACATGGACACCGAGTGGGCCAATTCATACAATGAAACTGATAACAGTTCGCACGAATTTCGACTTCCGGATTGTGGATTTTTACAGCGGCCCTACTCAGAAACAGAATTGCAAGAAGAAGAAGCTTCTAGTAGCCGAGTCCGTGAACGCCCCCTATAAATAACCCATTTATTTTTTGTGAAGCTGCAGAAGAACGACCATCTAAAAAACAGCGCAAAGAGAACCCAAACAATAAACATTAAATTCTGAAACATATATTTTCAGATGATTTTTACTGTTCGTCTTTTCTATACTTCGACTTGAACTTGTTTTGGTTTTTACCAATTCACAAATAATAAAAAGTTCGTATTGAGCTCAATCACTGTTTTAACATAAATATCTTCAGGCAAATAAACTAGTTGACGCAAACCAAGTGTTAATACAAACAAATGTGTGAAATCCTTTGGTTCGATTTCAATAACCAATTTTTATTAGCATGACAAATCTTCGACGGAAAGAAAGGAAGCCAGGAAATGATATCCACATAAAACTAGGACGAAAAAAAACTTCAGGAATTAGGACGATTAACTTTTTTATGGCACGAAAAGGGACCGCTTTAAAAGGAATTAGAAGGAATTATTGTATCGCGTCCCGGTTGTTAAGCTCAGCTTAACAAGATCCTAAGGAGTAGGTCTTTTACTTTAGGGGTGGGAACTTACGTTCATTTTCAAAATCCTAGGAGAGGGGTCTTCCAAAAAATTGAGGACCTAGGATTTTGCTTTACGTGAGGACCCCCCTTAGGAAGGACCCCCTTAGGATCCGGGACACGATACAATACTACTTAAGTACAATTTTTGACAAAGTGATCTAAATCTCCACGTCTAAAACATTTTTTTGTCCCCATGTATTCACCTTGTTACTATTTCCTTTTCCTCGGATAATCAAGTTTCTCTTGTTTTAATCTGTTTCGTACGTTTCAAATTTAACATTTGCAGTTCCATTTTAGTCCTCACTGGAATTTCTTAAGGTTTCTTCAGGCAACTCTTAGTCCATATGTTGTTCTGAATCCTTGCTTTTACCAATGTTTTTGTTGTTTAATTTTGTTGATTCATTTCGCAAATTGGATTTTTGTAATAAAGCCAGAGAAAAAATTCTGTCATTCATCCGCCTTTCTGCTACAACTTTAATTTTTTTCTGATTTTTTTTCTTTATGCATTGCATCTTCTTCCATTTCCAGCGTTTTCTCAAACCGTTTCCACTGCTTGCCGGTGAGTGTACTTTTTCAAGATTGTATTCGGTGATAAGTATTCATCTAGCACAACTAACGGTTTCTGAATACCTGTCTCTGAGGCAGCATTCCCTTTAACCACGACACTGCAGTTTCGTCTAAAACCGAACTCCGCTTCAAAATTGAAATGATTTATAAATGGAACTAATAGAAAACTGAAATATATATATATAAATACACCTTGATTTCAACGATAATGAAATAAAACATGGGTGATTTTGCCACAGAGGGGTTTTACACTACAGGGGACTCTGTCCTGGGGGATTTTATCCATGAGGGTTTTCTTCTGGGGGATTACGTCCTTGACTTACCGAACTCTGAATCCCTTTCCTTATTATTGCGACTATACTTTTGAAATTTGAAATCGGGTGTGTTTTAGAGTTGTTTTTGCTGTTTTCCACGCAAATTCAGGTACCACAAACAGTCATCGGAATGAGTGGAGTGATATGTCATATTAGAGCTCTTACAGTCGTGCTTTGAACAGCAATAAAATCTTTTTTAAAATATATCTGTAATTTAAAAACTTGTTTTATAGATTAGTTTCGTTTTCTTAGTCATTTTTCTACAAAAACTGTTTTCCAATTGGCCTCTTATAGTACGAATGTTGAATATGCTTATTTTTTTTCGATGAGATTTCTTTTATCACACCACGCTCACGCAGAAAAAACTACACTAACTTGAAAAAACTTTTATTTGTTTATTTTTAAAGAATATGGTCGGAACCTTCTGTGCTACTTGCACAGTAACCAGCTATCCTCGTTACAAGCGGATTTATCGTTATCGACATCTCTGCAATTTCTTTTGACATCTCTGCAACACTTGTGGTCTTTAGACTTTAAATTTGCAAGGTTCGTTTTCACCATTCTTATTTTTGCCGTTGCGATCACTTTTTTGTCTCTCCCTTTTTTCACAAAACTCTCCTCCCACTTGATTCTGTCTTCACTTCAAACTAACACCCGTCTCTTTAATAGAAATATCGAAATCTTCCAGCAAATTCCATCTACCAAATTTAAAAGACAACATGCTCTTCGTTTTTCTTATATGATTACGAGGCCAAACTGTGTATTTTAAGAATTGTAAATAGTCTCCTTGTCCTTCTGCAGTCCTGATTTAAATTAACCGGACAAAACGAACAAAATTTGGATTTTCAAACGATTTTTTTCCCAAATTGGGTTACAATTAGACAAAAATTGAGGAAAACAAAAATTGATTAGATCTTCACCAGAATTGATATAGTGTATTTTTTCTCTGAAATTCTCAACTGAAATTTTACCCCAAAAATGGATCTTTTTTAATTAATCGAGAATTACGCTGAAACTACTTTGCTGATTGCTGTCATAATTCATATCACAAGAAGCATCTTACACAGCTCAACAAAATTCTAGAAGAGCCAAATCTGAAAAAGTTTGGGCAAATTGTTCAAAATGTTCTTTTTAAGTAAAAATTCTGAGTTTATTTTGTGAAAATCACATTTAATGACTATCAAGCCAAAAAATTTTTGTTTTATACAGATTTTTATGGTTTTAACTTTTATAATACTTTGTTGAGCTATTTAAGGCTTCTTGTGGTATAACTTTCTCATCAATTAAAAAAGTAGTTTTTGCGTAATTTTTGATTAATTGCGCCATATTGAATCTAGTGATATTCTAAGCAATTTTTGTTCTCCTTAGTTTTTGTATGGATGGCTTTCATTAGCTTAGTAATGTTATTTCATTTTCTTAACGTCCCGACAAAATTTCAACTATTTTAAAAACGTTTATCTTTGGATTTTAGAGAACTACAGATACCAAATTCTGCGCCTATCCAGTGCACAGTTTGGCCTCGTAATGATTCCCCGCATTTTTTCTGCCCCTCAAATGAAAGTCTGTTTCACATTGTTGGTTTGGCTGGTTTTCTTTTGCTACTTTTGTGGAAATGTTTTTACCACTACGTTTGTTGATTTTCTTGTCTTTTCATATTTTTAGCCAAATTTCAACTATAGTAACTAATTTTTGACCGAAGTGTTTGTAATTAGCAAGTAGGACAGTTTTTTTGATGTTTTTTTTTCGTGGTAAATTTTCCATTTACCTCCTGCTATTATGTTGAAGTGTTCAATGAAGGTCGATTTAAGAGATAAAGAATCCGTTAATTCAATGTTTTATGCCTTTTATACTGAAAAGCGTTTTCTCTTTTCCAGATACTCAAATGTTTTCACGATCATCAACACACATTAGTCTACAAACGAACAACGGCATTATTTGCCTCTTTTATAATCGTAATAGTAACCATCAAATGAATCGCCACTTGAATTATTAAAGTTAATATCTGTAATATTAGAAAAATCCGAGGTCGCCATGAACGTTTTTGTAAGTTAGTTTTATCAATTGTCTCTTTTTCGTTCACAATTATGTTCTTATTCTTTTTGCTCTTTTTACAGCAAGTGCTCTGCCTAACTAATTAATACAAAATAGAGCATGTAAATTTGATTGACTTCATCGGTTTATGTTTTCTGATTTTTTTCTGGAACCCATAAACTTGGTTGCAATTGGTTGCAACTAGGTTGCAACTTACTTTTCTCGTCATTTAATGGCTGGTATAGATGCCAAAATTCAGTCTTCAAATTTTTTCCATTTTGATACTATCTTACGGCAACTTTTTTGACCTTCCAACCCTAAAATTAAGGGTACGCTCGCTGAAAAAACACTATGTTGAAAAAATTGAAAACCTTTGTCCAATGTTCAAATGTCAAGAGTTTGGGGTTTCATTTTAGAGAATTGGTTGACCTAAAAAGCAAGCAGTACTCAAAAAAAATTTCAGCGCACGCCATTGGGTACACTGTTAGAAGTTTTTTATTTACTGAAAAAATATGTTGATATATTTCAATTATGTGTACAAAAATGAAATGTTAGTATCAAAGTTTTAGAAACTTTTAATGAGTATTATCGATTATATGCAACGAATCAAAATGTATCTATAATCTATGTATGTACAAAATTTGAATTGGTGAACAACAATGCCGAGGTTATTTCATTATAATTTTTAAAATTTTCATTGAGGCCTCGGCTAGAGTTTTTGATGATCTAAAATGTAAAGCAGTGATTAAACCCGTCTGAGCTCTGATTTTTTAAGGAAAGTATTTTGAAATAATAATTATGAAAAAGTCATGGTTTTTCCACAAGAATTAGGATTTTTACAGCCAAATAATTTGATATCTATGGGTTTAACTGGCAATAAAAACGCATGACTTTAGATAAAATGACATATTAAACGCAGTTTCATTACTTTTAGATTAGGTTCTTAGATAGAGTACTTAGATTTTATTTTACAAAATTTTTTCAATCTATGGATGAAAGTGTATGTTGAAAATACAATAAAAGCAATAATTACTTACTTTACAATCGAATATGCTCTTGTGCTTTTGTTTTTTTTAACAAATCATCATAGTGGCAAAATTTGACAAAAACATTTCTATTTTTGAAGCTAAAGTTTAGATTTTCATTGATTATGATTTCTATTACTACATTTGTTTTCCAAAATCAACTTATGAGAAGCATATCACAACTATACATCGTATTTACACCTGTTTAACTATCAGCGTCAAAATTTTATGAGAGATATTTTGTTTTATGAGAGATATATCTCTCGTATATTTAATATTTATGAGAGATATAATGTTTTGTCTTTATAATTGGTAAACTGAGTTTAGACGATGTTCTTATTACTATTTCGAATGTTTCCACTGTTGCCGTTGGCGATGAGTGTCATCATGAGAGATTCCGAAAACTCCATAGTTATTTCATCTGGAAGATCACAAGATATATCATCTTCAGGTTCAACCACTTCGATGCAATCTTTCACTCTAAGAAAACAAAAGAAATTCAGAACATAGCCATTCGTAGATTCGAAAAAGTAACGAAAGCAAGTAAACATAATAAAACACTGACTTTGTTGAAAAAATCACAAGTTTCGAATTTCGAAGAAACAAATAGATGCTCATTAAGCTCTTTGAATTTCTAAAACGATTTATGATGGCGTTTTTTAAAAACGTTCACCCAACTTGAGAAAACTGGATCGACAGGTAAAGTTTTTTTTTCCGTTGGAAATGTAAAATTTAAATTCTACTTTCGAAACTAGAAGTCTTTCACCAATTTTTGTGCCATTTATACGTTCATATTTGGAGACTGCTATTTACGTCACTTTCAGCAAATGAAATATAATTGAACTAGAAAAGTCCATATATACCTAAGTGCACCAATATTTTAAGACTTCAAAAAAATATCAGCAAGACCTATATAAGAGTCTTCACTACGTTCATTACTCTTAATAAACTGTTGCTATCAGGCAAAACACCGTCTTTATAAAAACTGTAGTTAAACTTTGCATCCATCATAATTTTATTATTTTTTAAAAATAGCGCTCTAGAAACTATGTTTTCTTCCTTTTCCCACCGGGATACATGAAATTTTATAAAAACATTTATAAAAATTTTATAAAAACAATAATATTCTCTCAACTTTCCAGACTTTTTTGACTTTTAGCCAGATTTTTGCAAACAAAATTTGCTATGTCCAGATTGATTTTTTCGATTAGTCTGGGAAAAGCAAAATTTTGTCGTGCTGGCCGCGCCACTGAATGTCGGGGTGTGCCTGTCAATATTTGGTTTTACTATTCCGCTGAGAAATCTGGAATCAGAATTTGTTGTTTTGAAATTGTGAATCAGGCTCATTTGTTGCATCATTTTGATAATTATTTTTTAACAGACAAAAATCTAACATGCAGTTATCAGAGGTTAGTGAAAAACTTGATAATTTTATTCCCCGTGTCGAGGTCGCGGCAGCATTTAAGCCGCATCGTTTCCCGATTCGCAAAGGTCGCTTGCTCTGCACATCGGTCGGTCGCGTAATCACAACGGATCTTTTTGGTCGAAAAATTCTGGCAATGATTAAAATCATTTGCGCCGGTTACAGCGGTCGCGCCGTTTCATGCCTGTTCGCAAAAATCGAGACTTCGCAATATTTTTCAGAAGCGTTTGGATCTATGAATCTAGTATCTGCAATTTCAGGACAACCAAATAAAAAAACAGTTTCTATGTTAGAGGAAAGTCTCTCTTCTTATTTAAATTGGAAGCTATCTGAAATGGAGATTATGACATAATAAAAATTTACAGAAAATGCTATTTAAGAATTATTTCCCAGAAATTTAGCCTGAAAAAAATGTTTTACTGAGATTTTTGCAAGCGCACTTACAGATTCAAATTATTTTCTTTTAACAACTTTCTAAAGCCACGTCCGGAAACTAGTCTTGTTGTCTTCTTTATGAAAAGTTTGACTGATTCTGAGGAGAACAGGCCTATTTATGTTTGTATCAATTAGCATGTCGATGTTCAAAAATTAGGTGGCTGACACTTTCTTTCGAAATATTTTTTGCAGTTTTGAAAAACGTATAATTTGCCAAATATATAATAATGCGAAACTGGAAATTGGATTCCAACAACACCCAAGTAACATTTGATAAATAAGGTTTTTTCGCTTTTCGTAAGCGCCGGGACATTTATTTTTTTTCATTCTCGTTTTCAGTATAAGAGTACCTGAACTTTGAAAATATTGAAGAAAAAAGTATTTTTCTCAACTATATTTCCAAATTTTGCAGCTGCGAGGCTTTTTAAAGAGCTACAAAAAGATTGAACAAACGAAACAAGTATTTAAAAATATTGCCTTTCTTATTTTTTTGACATCGGAGCGGAAAATTAATTTTGCAATTTCACGAGTGATCACTAAATGATTCACGTAGGATCACAAAAAATTAGTTTTACAATTTCTTTGCAAGGTTTTGGAATTGAAGAACACTAGATTAATAATTAACTCAAATGGCATAGCTCTTTTCCCTTTTGTGAGCTAGTCTTTGCAAAATTATTGTTCCAAAAGTTTTAACAAAATGAAGAACTAACCTCCAATCAGACCGAATATTTCTGTAGGGTTCGTAGTTCAAATGGAGAAGTATCTCGTTCAGAGCTAGCATAAATCGGTTACATTTATCATCCAGTCCCAATCTTTTTATGCAACTCTCCTGTATATCTGGTTCCAGCTTCTTTTTAAAATCGGAAGGAAGGTTCAAATATGGATCTTCTTTGTGCTCTATCAGGAGTGCAGTTTTTTGTAAGGCAAATGCTTGCCACACAGAAACGATTCGTTTGAATTTCAGGTCTCGAATACCTTAAGAAACACAAACGCATGATAATAACAAGGTGATTTTTATTTGGTCAAAAACGGCAAGTTAGAGTGGACGGTAGTTTGGCAAAGACAGTAGAAACTCAGAAATTAAATTGGCGAAGAAGTAAACATTTTTTTTTGCTTTTATAAAATTTTTGTGATTTTTTGCGCCTGGTTTGATGAGTGTGGCGTAATTTTTCCGACTTTTGATACGAAGGTAACGGAATATTTGTGCTCGGGGTGGCATTTTTTTTCTTCAGACAAATTTCGACTTTTTAACTAGCCATTTTTGACGGAATTTTATCATACCATCCGAAAACTATTGTTGTCCTGAGCTCAATTTTGAAAAAAATATAATTCACCTTTTCGAAAAAAATATTTCACCTGAATTTTTGTAAAATTATAAAGGTTTAAAGATTGCCATTTTGAAAGTCGGAACAATAGTAGTTTTCTCATTGGAAGGCAACAGTGTTATTGTTCCGACTTTCGATATAAAAAAAACGGAAAATTTGTGCTCGGAGTGGGTTTTTTTCTTCAGACAAAATTCGACTTTTTAACTAGCCTTTTTTGACAAAATTTTTTAAATATCATTCGAAAGGTATTGTTGTCCTGAGCTCATATTTGAAAAGATATTTCACATATGATAGTTTTTTGTAAAGTTACGGGGGTTGAGAGATTGGCGTTTTGGCCAATTTGGGACAATTAAGGGGCGATATATTTCGCGCTATTAACGCGTAAGCGGAGATTTAATCCGTCTTAGAAATCGTTCCAAATTGGTTGAAAGAAGCTTATTTGAACTTGCCTTGATATGGCATGTGGGGAGATTATTTCATAAAAAAATCACAATTTAGAAAAAAGTTTTTTTATTTTACTTTATTACATATAATTTTTTCATGTTACTACTGCTCCATAAACCTCAAAATGCAGTCGGAACATTCAGAGCTTCGCCCTGATACGAGCAGTCTTGTTATAAATTAAGGCTCATAACTATAAAAAATTAAAAACAAAGAAAAACATAGCCAACAGGTAGTTAGAAAACAGTCAACTAACGCAAGGAAACAGAAAAAACTGTCTTGTTTTTCGAAAAAACATCAATTATTGAATTTCAAAGTGAAAAACCTATGGCCCTAACCTCTTTGAATTCTAAACAAATTATGGTTACCGCTTTTTAGATAAAATAAACGCCATTTGGGAAAACTGGATCAGAGGTAACAGTTTTATTCAACTCGGAAATCTGAAAAAAAAAATCTATTTTCGAAATTAATAGTCAATCGCGTTTTTCGTGATTTTTACACTTTCTGATTGATACTCCACGCAACAAAAAACAAAGTGATTTTAACAAAAAATCAAAAGTCAAACCACAAATAAAGAAATTTGAGACTGATTGACTTTTCGTAAAACACTGTGTTTATTGACTATTAAAAACAGTAGACCAAAAGTCAAAAAGGCATTTCAATAATAGTTTATCTTTCTCTGCATCCTGTTTTTTTTTCGTTTTTAATAGACGAATTTTTTTACATAGAAAATACTAAATGAACCCTCAAAACTAACTTTTTTGGCATGAGCAAAAACGAATACTGTGCTGTTATAAAAACAAAATAGAAGCCGAAAACAGAAAAACATCTTCTTTGTTATATCTTTTTCTTTTACATGGCGCTTAACAGAAGCGCGTGTATGTGTTATTGCAATTTAGGATTTCCTGAACCTAAACGTCATTTTGAAATTGAATATTAATTAAGCTTAGCTCAAATTTAGATTAAAAGGTTTAATATTAATGATTCCAATTTTTTTTCTTAATTTAGAAAGATCTTTTTCAAAAACTTTTTACGTTGGCTGCTTTTTTGTGACATTTACTCTTAGATGCTTGCTCAAGAATAAATAACGTTATTTTCGAGGAGTATGCATTTATTTGAATGCATGTCTCTTAATTTTTATTTGAAAGCATGTCTCTTACTTCCATTGTCTCTTAATTTTTTGGTCTCTTAATTTTCATTTGTTTTAACTGGTGTAGCTTTAAACTCATGCTACTTTTAAGTTCAAATTGAAGTCTTTTGGTTTGGCAGACTGGTTTTTTGTTTTTTGATTTAAACAGCAGGCAATGAAACAAAACCCATGGTTGTTTTGGTGAGCCCAATAGGATGCTCTTAAATTTAAATCAGGTGCGAATGAAGGCTTTTCCTTGATCATATGAAAACTTAACACATTGACCATCTGATTATGGACAAAAACCGAATGTTAAAGTTCTGAGAGATAGATTAAAAGCAAAAGCTAACAGTGAAAAGGGATATCTCACAGATTCGTCATTAAATGGATGTATCTATATTAGGTATAAGAAAAAAGGGAGAGCCTCAGCGAAAAACAATTGCACAGAAAGAGAATCGATTGTACAGAAACAGTAACGAGTGTACAAAAAGAAGAATAGTTGTTTTACTTCCATGAAACACTGAGCAAAAAGTGAAAATCAAGGTCAATCTTGATAAGCAAGCCGTAAAACCATATGGTTTTACATTTCTTTGCAGAATAATTGTTAGACCCATATGCGTATACGTATGAAAAAATCTAAAAATGTGTTTTCAGAAAACTGTTATCTCAAAAAGCGAAAAGGGTCAATACAAACTTGAATTTTTTTTATTGATTTTTTTTGCTTTTGAAGACAACTACTGTCGATTATGGCTAAATTACTAACTTTCTAGGCGTTTGCATAGATCTCCCATCAAACCACGCGCAAGAAACGGCACTAATTTGAAGAAAAAATGTTTTGTTTGTATTTTTGTGCTACTTGCCCAGCAACCAGCTATACTTATTTTTTACCGGCTCAGTTTCGAATTTTCAATCCCTCAGCTCGAATACTCAGTGACAATTTTTTTTGGAATTTATTTCTGAATCACTTTTTTAATTCAATATGAAAGTAAATGCAAATAGCCATTTCATACGGCAGTTTCAGTCTTTTGTTCATTAGTTGTCTAGAAATTGTTTTGTGTTAAAGTTTTGTTGAACTTAATCAATTTTGCTGTACTTCTCACAAATATGATGATGAACGTCATGAAATGAATTCCAACTTAATTGATTAAAAATAATAACAAAAATTATAGTAAATATATCTTGCAACGGAGACAGCATCCATTTCTGTAAATTGTTCCCTTAAACCATTAAACAAGTTGTCGCTATTTTTTTTCACGTTGTATCCGTTATGTATCCGTTTCACGTTGTATCCATTTGGAAAAAAGGGCCGAACGCTCGAAGATACGGTTGCTTCCACTAAATCCAAGCACCAATACAAATGATACCAATAAGACCAACACAGATGATACGATACCGTTTGCGTGCCCGATCGATTAGCCCAAAAATTGTCACCAGAAAAAGATGAAATTTAAAAGAAAACTTACTGTTCACAAACTCAACATGCACAGTAGTGAGTATTTCACCGATTGTTGTATCGGATTCATTCACTGGTCCACTCTCGTTGTCCTTGCGGCCACTGGAGGAGTACTTCATAGCAAGGATGATTTGACTCATCGCTCGGCATACCATTGGAAGATCTCTACAGCTCTTAACGTCAGATAATTCTTTCGCACTTAGTGGCTGAAAATAAACCGTGCTAAATTTTTGTTGTGAAAAACCCGAAAGTTTAGAACATAACCAACAGACAGTTGGAAAAGACTCAATACAATTGAACAGAAAAAAATACGAAGATTTTCGAACATCAAAAAAAAAACTTTAAAAAAACTTTTCGAATTTCAAGAACAATTTATGGTTGACTTGACACTTTTTTGATAAAATAAACCCGTTTTGACAAAATTGGAAAATAATAAACTTTTAATTTGCTTGAAATCTGAAAATTAAAAAAAATTAAATTTCTTTTTCAAAACTCGAAAACGATCACGTTTTTCGTGATTTTACATTTTTGCTGTTCGATAGTTGAATTTGCCTTCCTTTTAATAAAGGAAATGAATTGAACCCAAAAAAATCATATGTCAAACATCGAAAAAGTAAATTTGAGCCTGAACAAATCTTTTGACTTTTCTTAAAAAAACCAGAAAAAAAATTCATCACGCCCTAAATGAGAGTTTGGACTACGGAAGTTAATCGACCCATAAAAAACTTTTGTGTTTAATTGCTACAGAATCGAAAAAAAAATCATATAATCAAAATGTGTCAATGAACCATGCGATAACCGGACCTCAGTCATTTCAAAAGTTTCTGTTGAACCAACCTCTGTTTGTTCTAGATTTGCTCTTGTATCATCCAGCACTTTTATAGAATACTCTATGTCACCGAGTTGAGGAATCTGAAATAATAAACAAAGTTATGAACAAAATGAGCCTTTCCTGCCCATAGGTAACTATTTTAGATTTGCTATTTAAAATAGGTCTATAGGTAAAAATATATCTATAACTAATTTTTTTATTTCCTTGGGAGATCTCAAAATTAAATATCACTTTCGAAACAAGCGTTCGATCGCATTTTGTGTGACTTCTACACTTTTGCTGGACGATAGTGGAGTTTGCATTCCCTTTAACAACTGAACTTAACAAGAAATCAAAAGTCAAACCGCGAAACCAAAATTTGAACCTAAACAAATTTTAAGACTTCTCCTGAAAAGAAAAAAATCATCGTAACCTGTATAAGAGGATGAACTACGTTCATCAACTCTTAAAAAAATTTTCCTCTCTTCGAAAATCTTTGCTTCAATAGTTGTGTGCAGAAATTTCTGTGCTACATGTAAAGGGTTGTGCTTTTTTTAAAAAAATTTCCCTTAGAAAACGGTTAAAAAATCATCATGATTTATATAAGAGTGTGAAATAAATTCATTGGCTCGATAGTCAAAAACACAGCCTATTGACAGTTGGAAAAATTAGTGAATAAAGGACAATGCGAGACTCTGAAGCCCGCATTTAAATATATAATAAGTAGAAAGATAAATGATAGATAGATAAATAGATAGATAGATAGATAGATAGATAGAAAGATAGAAAGATAGATAAATAGACAAATAGATAGATAGATAGATAGATAGATAAAAAAAATTTTGAAAACATTTTAATTGGTAAACTATAGCCAACTCACAGTTGGAAAAGAGCAATGAACGCAAGGAAACGAAAAAAAGGACTCGTTTTTTGAAAAATTTAACTTTCGAAGTTGAAAAAAATGTTTGTACCCTTGAAGTATTTGAACTTCGCAAACAATTTATGAGTGGTGCTTTTTTGATAAAAACAACGCAATTTGAGAAAACTAGATCAAAAGGTAAAATTTTTGCTTCGCAAGGAAATTTGATAAATAAATTCCTTTTTCGAAAGCAAAAAACAATCACGTTTTTGTGACTGCTACATTTTTGCTGTTTCATAGTGGAGTTTGCCTTCTTTTTCACAAAAGAATGGAAAAGGGCTCAAAAACAAATCAAAAGTCAACCGCGAAAAATCAAAGTTTGGTGTAAATTAATTTTAAGACTCTTTCCTGAAACAAAAACACAAAAACTTCACC